TAGCTTCCACCCAGTCTGGGACGAAACAGCTAGGAACCATGTTCTCCTAAAATTCTGGTACAATAAGGTATTCGTGGAGTGGACCACGACAATCAAAACACTGAATTAGATATAGAAGATTCATTACAAAAGAAAAAAATTCACAAAAGCACGTCTCAATCGTCGAGTGGAGACTTCTCCGGTGGTGGTCCACATGGAAGTATCATTCGATTGATGAGGTTGTAACGAGTTCGGGCACGAGACTCATTCTCAACTATGGCGATGAACGAGGTCATACCGGGATGGCTCACCTAAATCAAAAAATCTCTAGATAAACTGCCTTTCTTTCCCCCGAAAGATGCCTTAAAATGTAAGATAACAGGATTAATACATTTATATTCCATAGATAAAGTATAATACCCATGGAAGCCATAATCACGAAAATATAGGATAAAGGATAAAGCTCTCAGCGTTGATCAATCCCTGAGGGATGCGCCATGCATTCGCCTTCAATTTCTAACTTCGCTTGAGGTGATTGAATGCATATCTGGCCTTTACAATGACTCGTGGTGGCCTCCCGCTGAACCGAGTCAGTGCTGCTTATCCTCCCAGACGAGTCTGAGACCTGTCTGGTACCAATTTACCGACCTGGGAGGGATGAATGGCTTGGGGAGCCATGAGCGCGAGATCGAACCATTGACCTCGTGTGCGACGCATAGCACCTCTAACCACTGCGCCACATGCGCTCTAATCACGAAAATATTAACAGGAAACGGAAATTTTTGCTCCCAAGTGATCTACTCACTCATGGTGACTGGAAGGTGTTCCTAAGTGTCGAACTTCGGAGTACAGAGAGGTTTAACCTCCCGGCAGGGTAGTGCAAGCTGAGAAGGAGTCCTACGTTCCCACCCGGAAAGCCCAGCTAAGAGTAGATCGTACCAGGTAAGACCGACGTCTTGGTGCTACTAGTAGCAAAGTAATGATATCCTTAAGATCCGCAAAGGCCGGGGACTGCTCTGATGTGGTGACGACCGGGGAAGCTACGACTAAGCTTACCTCGGTATTCACGGAACAAAACAGCTAAACCAGCAACTGCCTTTTGCTGAGCCTTGCACTATCAGCGAAGACGAGTCGTCCAATTATCCAAATAACAGTGATACTATGGAAAACGGGATAGCGTAACGTCAGTGATGCGAGGTGTTAGAAAGCAGGAGTGATAAACAAGGCACAGGTTCGATCCCCTCACCTACATTGTCTTGCAATCAATCAGAACACCCCAGGGGAACGTTTTGGCCCCACTACGTACAAGACTGGAGCGAAAGTCGTCTCGACCAGCATTTCACGCCATTCACAAAGACACATGGTAGTAAGTCAAGACAAAGAGAACATATCCTTTCATCATTATTTGAGCCAACATGTCATGTGGTCTGGTAAGGGCTCTTGTACAGCCCGAGACACGTGTTTCGTCCTTACAGACTCATCAGCCGGGCAGAACCCGTCGTCTGTCGATCTTTTCATGGTCAGTTCTCTCGGGAGCGTCACACTCCTTATATATAGTTATCGACGACCTACGCTTTACACTCTATGTCAGGTGAAACATTCACCTAACACAGAGTGTTTTGCACTTGATTGCTCATTGGCTGGTACTTTTATCATAATTATACCTTTATCTCGAGTGCTTTGTTAATAATTATGATAAAAATACCAGCCAACTAGCAAACGAGTGCGAAAACACTCTGTGTTAGGTGAATATTCCACCTGACATAGAGTGTAAAGCGTACGTCGTCGATAACTATATATAAGGAGTGTGACGCTCTCGAGAGAATTGACTATAAAAAGATCGACAGACGACGGGTTCTGCCCGGCTGATGAGTCTGTAAGGACGAAACACGTGTCTCGGGCTGTACAAGAGCCTTTACCAGACCACATGACATGTTGGCTCAAATATTAATAAAAGGATCTATTGAAATTTGAGCGTGGTCTTAATAAAGCACTCGAGATAAAGGTAAAGAGAACATACCTGAGAAGCTCTCGTATCTCTCAGCTGGTTCGTCAGCCACTCATATCGTGTGGTGTCGGCATGTCCAGTGCCAGTGTACTTAGAATGGAGATGATCCAGCTGCGCCAAAACATGGAATCGTTCACCAGGTCCTGACATTCTGGAAGTATCTACGCTCGGTCAGTCAATCAGGCGTCCGGAAACGAAACAGAACTCCTAAGAATTTCAACAAACAAACAAAAAGCAAAAAAAAGGTGGCAGTGAAGCGACAATCTCTGGTGTAGTGGCAGCACGCTTTCCCGGTACAGACGAAACACGGGTTCAGTTCCCGGTTGGGTCGAATTTTTGCGTTTCACTCAATTTTCTAAGAAAAACAGAGATTCTCAAGTAAAAAGTACCTAAGGAAGTTCAAAAAAGAAGGGTGCAAATTCTCTAACAATATTTAGGATAGTGATAAAGGATAGAAAAGTTCACAAACACCGAAGAGATGGAAGGTTTGGTGAGGCCTGAGTGCGGGATCGAACCACTGATTGTCAACTGAACGATCACATATGAGTCGACGAGCACATCTATCCACTGCGCCACACGCGTTCGGGACACTAACAGACATAGGTGCTCCTCTAGTTCACAAGTATTTATATACACATACTTCTTACAACCAAATGTAGCTTCCTTCATAATTCAGCTTACATCAAAATGCTGAGAAATGCGATATACTCGCCTAAATCAACACGAGATTCAAGTGGTGTTAGCTAAAATTGGAGTGAAATTCAATAAAAATAAAATCAGAGATTAATTATTTGACCTCGGGGGTTCGCGCTGAACCGAGTCAGTGCTGCTTATCCTCCCAGACAAGTCTGAGACGTGTCTGGACCAATTTACCGACCCCGGAGGGATGGATGACTTGGCGAGCCATGAGCGCGAGATCGAACCATTGACCTCGTGTGCAACGCAGAGCACCTCTAACCACTGCGCCACATACGCTCTATGAAACGCCAGAAACAACAATAAAAATGGGTCTCATTCCCCTGACTTGAATAAAAAAGTGCAAATTCCCATGTTCGGATCGAATTTCTCAAAGGAATAAACCAGGAAGACAAGGATAATCGAGGAACCTACAATGAAATGAAGAAATCGACGACAATAGTCGTGAAGTGAAGCAATCGAGTACTTGCGCTCCAATGGGAATTTGACGTGCTCCAGCACGAACTCGTACGAAAGTCGTTCGTCGGGCTGCTTGACGAAATTAGCGTGAGTCCCCTCATTCCGATTCTTTTGCTAGTTTTGTCGTCCAGGCCGGAGGCTTGCTTATCGCTTTTGCTTCGTCATACACTGCTTCACTAGCCACTGCGCTACCCCCCCCCCCCCGCCGGGTCATTCCGCTCATTCAATTCTGATTCCATGATCATAGAATATAGCAGTGCTCTCTTGGTACAATGGAGTGACGCCATAGGAGCAGAGGTTGATGAAATCTCTTTGACAAGTAGAAATAAGTCTGCTTCATTAAACTGTTTATTTTGTGGAGTAGAAAGAGCGATATGCAAAATGGGCGTCATTAGTGTAACGGATAAAGCACGCGCTCCCGGAAAGAGTAGGGTGCGGGTTCTAGTCTCGCCTGACGCGAAAGTTTTGCACTTCACTCTACATCGAAATTTATTTTGTTTTACTATTACTATGTTCTTTGTATTTAATTTATTTCTCTTAATCTTATTCTTTTTATTGCTTTGATTACCTCGAAATTATAGTATTTCCACTGCTTTTTTCGCAGTGTTATTATGTTACTTATATAACTAAGAGAATTGAGTGGTGAACAAAAACACGGCCTCAGGCGGGAATCGAACCCACGTTTCATCCTATCCGGGGACGTTTTTGTTTTTGTTCACTACTCAATTCGCTTTGATTACCATTTTTTATCACCACTATCAATCAGAATTATTTTTATCTAACCGCCACTTGCGGTGGTATGATCTTGTAATATACCTAATAATGTGGAGTGCTGTACAAAAACGTTTGCGTCAGCCGGGATTCGAACCCAGATCTCACTCTTTCCAGGAGCGCATGCTAACCGTTGCACCACTGACCCCCGTTTTGCACAGCACTTTTTTACGCTACAAGGGGCTACCTGTCAACAGCCAACCGTCGACGGTCTGGCGGGGCAGCCGCCATCGGCATTGAAACCACCTGTGCTAACAAGTTTTGGATACGAGATCTGAAAGGGAGAAGAGAAAGAAATCGGAAAGAGTGAGAGCTGGGTTCGAATCCCGGCTGACACAAATGTTTTTGCACAACACTCCACATTATTGGGTATACTACTACTAATGTTATTGTCATTACTATCACTATTATTATCATTAATTGTCATTAACATCCAATCTGCATATTTTTATTGCTGTTTTTTTTAACTTCATTTGATCCGTCATTTCAGTGATTTTTTCACTGGGCGGATCCCAGTACTTCTAGCATTCAATTCGTTTTTATTCGTCTTCTTCTTCTTGAACCGCGAAGAATGATGCCAGCATCACAACCACTCGGCCACGGCGCGCCCCATTAATGTTACTTATCTACTGTTACACATCACCATCATTTCACTGTTACCACTTACTGTTACATTATTAATTATCATTCCATTATCGTCAGTTACTGTCACTATCATTTACCATTATTCTTATTTATATAACTAGGAGAATTGAGTGGTGAGCAAAGACACGGCCTCAGGCGGGAATCGAACCCGCATTTCGTCCTATCAGGGGACGTGTGCACTACCACTACACCACCGAGGCACATTTGCCCGACCACTCATTCTTCAACATCTCAATGTTAGCTATCAGCCACCAACCTTTAACAGGTATGGTCGGGTATGCGAATTCGCTTTATAAACCCAGTTGAGCTGACAGCTATTCTAATTATTAATACTCGATATTGATAGCATTTTAAGTTCATTTCGCACTTTTTATGATCTTTTGAATACTCCTAAGAGAATTGAGTGGTGAGCAAAAACGAATTGAGTGGTGAGCAAAAACACGGCCTCAGGCGGGAATCGAACCCGCGTTTCATGCCAGCCGGGAACGCGTGCTCTACCACTACACTACCGAAGCACTTCTGCCCGATCACTCATTCATCAGCATCATTCTCTTAGTTATATAAGGAACATCATAACACTGCGAACAAAGCAGTAGAAATACTATAATTTCGAATTATTATTAATATTTAAGCATAGCTATAATTACTGCCTGTTATTTTGCTATCAGTTGATATTTTATTGCTATTTCATTTATCTTCATCGTCGTTATTATTGCTGTTATTCTTTATTCCGTTTTGTTTTCGTTTTCCTCTTTTTTTTTGCTTATTTTAACTCTTCAGTCCAGCTCACATTTCCTTCACTCTATCATATCATTTACTTCTTTCTGTTTACCTCGCACAATTTACTTCATTTCTCTAATTTTATCGCCTTACTTTGCTTCTTATTTTTCGCTTCGCTCCGCATTCATAGGGTATATCATTGGTATTCGAGTGATTATTGATCAATTTATCTACTGTCGCTTATTTATAATTCGCTCTCCGAGATCCCCCTGCTGTTATCACTCCAGGATTATACTTTGCTCTGGACTACTCTTTTTTGGGCGTACGGTAGAAAATAAATAGTGTAGTCACACTACCCATGTGTCCGTAATGCGCACTG